GCTGTGCACCTCCTGGGTTAGATGGAGGTCCTGCCTTTGGGTTAGGAACCTACATGAGCGGTCAGATCTGGCTGGCTGATCTTCCCAGCACAAGCCAGACCTGGCTTCCTGGAGCACAAGTCCCTTCCTGGCAGGGGCCACTCTACAGGGCTGGTAGAGCTGCTGCAGAGCGCGGCAGTGCTGTGGGGGGGCTTGCAGGGCACTCTGGCCCGCTTCAGACCCTGGTCCTGCCACATGCAGCCTGCTACAGCTCTGGCACCCCTGCAATTAAGTCCCCCCACCCCACTGGGAAGGGGCTCACACAGGGGTCCTTGCCCCCTTCTGCTACAGTGGCAGGGCAGGGGCATGGGTAGATGCCACCTGGCAGGGCCACTTGGGTATAGTTGCTTACAAAATTGGGCAGTTTCTCACTAGAAACAGCTACTGTTTTTTGAAGATTGGAGGATAGCAAATATACCTATATTTTATAAAGGCTGAAGAGCAGGGGTGGGCAAAGTATGACCTGTGGGCCGGATCTGGCCTGCCAGGCCATTCTATCTGGCCCATGGGCCCCTAAAAATTTTTAAAAATTTATCTGCTCCTGGCTGGCTATCAAAGATGATAGGCCTACCCATGTGGCCCTTGACAGCTCACCAAAATTGGGTAAGTGGCCCAAAATATTTGCATGCTCCTGCTGTAGAGCCCGCTGGCTGCTTTTTGCCTCTCCTCTTCTTTTTCACAGCCTTGCAAACTGTTTTTAGCTTTTTTCAAAATTGTAGGTCCACCCATGGGAACTAATCTGCAGCCAGGCATGGTTAAGCAGAAAAGGGAGCCTGAATCAGATAAAGATTAGGCTTTCTTCTTGCTTCATGCAGCCATAACTCTGGGGGCGGGGAGTCTTCGTTCTGCCTTTCCAAAATCAAGATGCATGTCCAATTTTCTTGCATATAACATGCTCCCAAATAAAATATTTCACATTGTTACAGTTTTCTTTGCAGCTTTAAGGGCTAGAAACCTGTTTTATTTTTTAATGAAAGCCTTGATATGAGAGCACAAGAATTGTTCTTCAGGGTGAAGATCTGATTTATCAGATTACTGAGAATAAGTACAGTTTAAATTTGTTGTAAATTTAGTTGACAGTTATGCAAATTTTAAAAGATTATTGAAAATCCATCTGGTTTAGATTTTTAAAGGGGCAGTGTAACACCCACATATTTTTGGGAAATAAAATTGGAAGCATCTGGTACAAATGGAAGTAAATATAAATCCACACAAGTATACGTAAGATGCTGTCACATGAAAGTCTTTGGTTTTCTCATTTCTGTAAATTGCTAACATTCAACTTGTAAGTATTGTTTTATACCTATTTAACTTAAATGCATTGCTTACATTTTTTTTAGAATGTAACATATTCTGGAAGACACAAAGGGCACAAGTTGCACATTAATCGTCAGAACAGCTGGCTGGGTGACATTTTGGACTGGCAAGATATTGCTTCCTTTGTTCATGACAACATTGAGACATTTCTATCGGTATGCATCTTATCAACTTAATTCTTGCAAAATATTCTCCTTTTAAATTGATCTTAAGTGCTACTTGCTTATCACCCTTTAAGAATAAAAAAATACTTAAGAATGTATGTAAGGTTCTACTGTTATTGAGACAGTGTTTTAACTAATACTTTTTAAGCATCAATCCAGTTCTGCATTTCTATATCTGCAAATCTAAAAATGTAATGGGTTATGATCAATAAACACCATCCCATTTCAACATCCATAAGAATACAACTTATCCAGCCTTCAAGCCACTTCTGTCCAAGGGGTGCTGCTGTTGCAAGATTATTCTGTTCTGCAACTTGCTTTCAAATACTTCAGCTTCCATAAACCATTGGTTTCCCCTTTTCTTGAAGTGAATGCTGTGAATATCTGTTTGTTCATCTATTTGTGCAAGACATGGTACTTGTCAAATACTTATTTGCTTCAGTCAATTTTCCTTCAATTCATATCGCTCTATTTCTGTGGCACAGTTCTATTCGTGTCTTATTTGATCATTACACTTCCTATTTGACCTATATTTTATTACTTTAAAGTTGCTTATCCCCAAGGGGAAAACTAAGAAGCTGTAATAAAACTGACCTGCATTTTTGTTTTCAGAAGCTGAAAACAAATCAAGGGTAAAGTTAAAAATGTAAATACTTCTGTAGTTCATTTGGAAAATTCTCACTTGGCAAATGCAGAATTAATGGAATTCTAATAAAACTAACACCGATAATATTTGACCCAAAATAACTATTTTTTGTTCATAATTTCAATCTATCAGAAGTATCTATCGGTATCAAGGTTGTAGGAGAGTGGTTCTTCAGCCTCTCTCTTTTCCACATTACTATTCATTGTACTGAAAGGAGCTTATTCCTTCTTTATAAAAGTTCTATGAAGAATGAAATTAATATTTTACACTGTATGGGTTCTTGAATTAATGCACTGGACCTTTCTCACCTCTTGGAAAAAATAGCATTGAAATCAGTCTAAACTGAATTACTCTCAAGTGGTCTATTAGGTCAGAGATGCTTAATATACAGAACTTCTGTAATAGTTTAGGCAGTTTAAGTCATTGATATGAACTGTGGTTGTAAAATAGAAAAAGAAAATTTTTAGGTTAATGTTTATCTGTTGTCTTGGAAAATAATTTCTTTATCTTGCCTTCAGCCCAGCATTTCTTGTGGATGCAATTTTAAACTAGTGTTTCCCCAAGGCATTTTTTGCCATGGGCTGGTAAGCATGAATTTATCATGTGTTTATTCTTTTTACTCTAAACCACTTCTAAAGATGTTCCAGTTGTGACACACTAAGAATACTGGAATAGGATGAAGTAATTTGAGAAGAAACTTTATTTCTTTGAACATTTTTTTCACTCTATACAGAAATTTTGTTTATAACTTGAAAAGACTTATGCAAATATAAGTCATAGTTATAAAAATGCATGAGCAAATTTTTTGTGTGGAAATTACTATGCAATTTCTGCAAAAGAGATTGGAGAAGGATTTGCATGTGACAGGTGTCTTAATGCATTTCTGGAAGGTGCTCTGATACCATTGTGATGACTATGCTGCTATAATATAAAAAGATGGGAATAACAGAGAATTTCATGAAGAGGATAAATATTTTTTAAGACTGAAATCTGAAAATACATTTTTAATGGAACTACCATACAACTTCCAGCAATATCAAGTGTTTTATTTTCTTTATATTTTACTTTAGAAGTAAGAAAAAGAGAAGCTCACAATAGACATACTTTTCCTGTTTGTATCCATGAACTTGCTCTTTTCTTTTGCCAAGGGAAACACCTGTCCCTTTTCTCTACACACTCATGTCCTTTATGATCTACTGTAAACTGCTGAGTATAGTGTGAAGTTGTAAATTCTGAATTTATATCCTTTCTGGGCAGTATTCCCTTGGCTCTTGCTCATGAGATCCATTACATAAATATCTCTCACTCTGATGTTTCAAATGAAAATCAATGAATAGTTGGTTGGTATGCACTGCTAGGCTGTTGAAATTTGAACATAATTAAAAATGTTTAGTATCTTAAAACCATTGGGCATTTTTACACATGCAAGCACCACAGCACTGGGCGCTTTGAAAAGTGCCTGGCACTGCGTCATTTGCAGTTGTGTACGTGGCAAACTGCACGAGTTCTGAGAAAATAGTGGCGGCGTGCTTTTGAACTAAAACACATAGAAGGTGTTTTAGTTCAAAAGTGCACTGCCACCATTTTCTGTGTGCTGACACACATTTCGCCACTTATACAACTGCATATGGTGCAGCGCATTTCGTATTAGTTTGCGTGCAGAGCAGACTCAGTCGAGTCTGCTTTGAAGCGGCGAATCTCTGATGCATCACAGGACAAAAAGGTATGTGTATAATTGTCCAAGATGCTGAATTACCATCACATACAATGGTATATTTTTAGGTACATTTAGGATTTAAGTCTTTTTTTTCAGGTGATGAGAACCTTTTATTTGCTGCTTTGGACTGAGTGTTATATTTGGCTAGTATAGGGGCTGGCAGTTATTTTGGATGGAGGGCCACTTACTGAGTTTTGGCAAACCATTGAGGGCTGTATGACAGGCAGCT